TAATTACTGACTCCAGCTGATTGTAGACATCAGATCCTCTTTTGATTATTTTCAAAAAAAATTTGAAAATCATTTTCATAACTTTTTCATTTCCTTAGTTTGAGACTGGATTCACACGAGTGTTCCTCCAATTCACTCAAACCAAGGCTCTGATACCAACTTGTAACATCCCAAAAATCACAATCAATTTAAACTTTTAAAAACAACCCATAGTAATAAAATTTTTACAAAATCATTGTTTCCAAATTGTTTATCCATATCAGAGTATCCCAAAATCATAAAGCCATAAACAGAGGATGTGTATGATCACGCCCTCGCCTTCCCGCGATCATCAGAAGTACCTGAAACAACAACTAAAAACCGTAAGCCAAAGCTTAGTGAGTTCCCCCAAAGTACCAACACACAAACAAATTGTGACAACTCGAACCTTTTTCCCGTTAACGTTTTCCCGATTCCGTTAAATAAAATTTTTAATTTTATTTTGTTCCATCAAATCCTTATAACTTGGAAAATCATTAATTATATAATTAAATTTTATATATAAGAGTCGGAACCAAAATCGCGCGAAAACCCGAGTGTTCTTCGAAAATCAGCAAATGCGGTCTGATTGGTGTTCACGACCGTGAACCCGATCACAGCCGTAAACCGATCACGGCTGGTGGACCCCACCACCGACCATGAAATCAGCCTATATATACGTGTTCATACCCTCATTTATACTTTTATGGCCGAAAACACACTTTCTCTCTCTAAAATCATCACCCGAAAAACCCAAGTTTTCTCTTCATCTATCACTCAATCCACCTTAAAAATCGTTTTGGAGCATCAAACATCCGTCTTTTCATCAAATCAAGCATTATTGTTCTTGAGATCACGGCCGTAAACCCTTCAAATCTTCAAATCTTCAAGGGCCGAAATTAGTTCACGGTCGTGAACCCTTCAAACCTTCAAATTTTCACCAAGAACAGACCGTGAACCATTCAAAGACCGTAAAACCTTCAAAGGAAGTAAACCGTTCACGACCGAGAACAGTTCACGGCCGTAATCCCTTCACGGCCGCAATCAGCCCTACACCGTGAATCTTGGCTGCAGACCCACTTTTCCACTTCGATCGAGTCTCGGTAACAATCCTTAACCAAAAGCAATTGTTTTTCCAACACTTTAATTAATGGATTCGCTAATTTAAATACAAATATGTGTTTAGTTATTATTAGGATTTCGTTAGCTTTGCATACAACAAACTCGAGGGTCCTCATTCCAGTCTCGTTGTCCGGCATACACGCAACCAACAGTGAGTTCATACCCCTACGATTTTACTATTTTAACGTTTTCAGGGGGAGGATACAAGCTAAACACAAATAGTTTTTATGAACTTATGCACAAAATCACGACAGGATTTAAAACTTATGCAATTGATACACTCAAAAGGTTTCCACATTTTTATGAAATATTTAGATATTTTATCCCTTTTGTAACATGCTGAGCATAAGGGACATTTTCAACTTACAGCCAAAAATTTGCATAATTTCCAGATCAATACATGAACCGAGTATTTAACACACATGCAAACTATAATAGGTATAGTTTGGGATTTCAGTACACTGTTTTACAAATTCAAGAACCGTACACCATATCAATCATATAAATTATGGTAGAACTAGTTTATGGCATACAATAATTCCTTTCGGATAACAAGAGTACATTACTAAATAATTATTGAAGTATAATTATTTATACTCTACAAGGCATACATTCAGAATTAAGTATATGACAACATAACAATACACGTAAACTAGTTAATACAGGGTTGTGAGACATCACTTCAATCTTACCCTTCGGGGTGCGGGCTAAATCCTATCATAGTATAACCAGAGTCTCCTGGAAGGAGAGCATGAGATTTGTGAATAGATCTATTTGGGATTGACTATCCCACACCTGAACTGCTAGCTACAGTTAGGCAGGCATGCCTGGGGTGACAAATGTCATAACGTCCAACGCCTGAAGAACGTCGTAGAGGTCACTAGGTCATATCAAGCATGGTTATACAAACTCACAACATTATAAACTAACCTATTGTTTACGGGATTTTATTCTTCATTAGTTTTATTTTCATTAATAGAACTACTACATACTACAACTGGAGGATTCCAGGGATTTCAACTCTTAGTTTTATTTTAATTAATGAAACTACTATACATACTGGTGCTATCCATGGTTTTCAAACAGAACATTCTATACATACTGGTGATAGCCAGGGTTTTCATACAAAAAGGGTTTTCATTCAAAACAACATTATACAATACATCTGGTGGTAACCATGCATACGAACTAATACATTATGGAACATTGTAACGAACACACATGTTAAAAAATATTGGATTTCTTGGAAACATACAAACATTTTCACTGATTCATTAACATATTTTCATTACAAAAACATGCTTATGAACTCACCATCTTAGTGCTGATACTCTTTTCAAAACCGCTTGTATTCTCAGGAAATCAGTAGATAGGTACTCCCGCAGCTTTTGAGAAGATGGAGCATATAGAGTCACGTCTTTTTTATATTTTGCTATACTTTTGGTGTATACAAACATGTATCAAACAAGATGTAAATATTTTACTTATTCAATGTAATGGTTGCGTTTACTTTGATTACTATGATGCAATTATTGTGATATTGTACATGACGTCATCCACCCCCGAACGTTTCCGCCGTTTTGGTTTGGGGGTGTGACACAAATAACATATACAACAACATGTCAGGTCCAATCAACCATTGGGTTAGAATACCCCAGGCCCAGTCAACCTCCGGGTCCAATCATCCTCAAGATGGAATATCCCAGGTTGGAATGCCAATATACAATGGGTCCAATCATCCTCGGGATGGAATACCCTCAGGACCAATCAACCATCGGATTGGAATGCCCCCGGTCTGTTGGCTCACACACAAAGCAGTAAAGTGAGAAAACAAATTGATCTGATGCGCAGGGACAAGGTTTGAAAACTCAAACCTTGAGTTAATACTTAAGATAAATGTCTGCTTGCTAATGAATGTTCCAGTCAGGTCTGAGTTAATTTATTCAACAAATATTTAAGCCATAAATGAAGAATGAGAATTAAGATCAAATTAAAGTTAATAAATAAGGAGCAAAGAGAATGTTGTAAAGACAGTGAAGTAAATGAAATATTGCTAAAAAGTTTGAACAATCTGTCGTTTGATTTAACATTGAAAGCTCCTATAAATAAGAGAATGAGGTACGTGGTACTAACTGATTACATACATAGGACCGGATAAAAAGAGTTACATCTGACACTCTGAATATCCGTGTTTGACAAAGAGACTAAGTCCTATGACAAGTTAAATCAAACTAAATGACAAAGACAATAAATGCACAAAGACAAAACATTGATTCAGATAGGCTAACATTATGGTCACATAGTCCATTGATTCGGATAGGCTAACATTTCGGAATGCCTTCACTGATCTTCTCATCCGGAGCATATCTTCAAGTCTGGACACAACTGAGATTCCGGAGCGTAGCTTCAATTTCGGACACCAATAAAAACATTTCGGAACTCTGACTGAGGTTCACTTTCACGTTCCAACAATCTCCCCTAAGTGAACTTAGCAATCAAGTCATATTAGTTTGCTTCTTCCTTGATGAACATGTACACTCTGAACAGCCAATATCTGACCTCAACATACCATTGTAATTGACTTACAAACTTTGCCTTGGCCTGTTCAGAAGCTTCGGATTTGGATGCTCTACTGATGAACTTCTTGAGGGCTTTTGTTGGAACTAGGTGTTTGTCAAGGACTCGGAAAAAGTCCTTTTTGTTTGTCTTCTTTGTCTTGTACACAAACCCTAGAACCGGATCATCAATAGGACCTTCAACTAGTAGTTCATCTTCCGGAAGCACATATTCGATCTTTGCAAAAAAGTCTTCAATTCCGAACAAATGAGCTAACTTATAGTCGCATCGACAAAATTATGTGACATAGTCCTTGAGAAAGCCTAATGTTGCATGGTAAGCACCCATGTTTATGTCATATTTTTGAAGACTCTGGAGATGAGCAGCAATGGTAATGACATCGTTCAGATTCATTGCAGGAAAAGTCAACATCGGTGATGGTGCGGTATGCTGGTTTGTTCTGGATGATGTGATATCGGAACATTGGGCAGTTGAGTTCATACTTCACCAAGATCTTTCTTCCAAACCCAGAGATTTTGTAATCCTCTTCCTTGTCCACACTTCGTTTTGAGGTTGTGCGTTCTTGGAGTAGAAAGTTTTCAATCTTTCACGCTCTGTCCGGATGATTAATTCTGGATCATCATTTGGGTGGAGAGGAGCAAATTTGGTGTAGAATTTGCTGAATGGAGAGAGAGGCAGATCAAGTTGTTCAGAATCAGTTGTAGGGACATCATAGTACATGAAGAATACTATGTCCGAATCACGAATAATTCCTTCACGGCATAGTGGAGAGATACCACGCATCAGATCAGGATTATCTTTAAGAGCTTGGATTCGGATGTTGTCTTCTAATGCTTTGTTGATTTCTTCCTGAGACCATCCAAACTTTTGCTTTGGTGGAGGTCCGGATTCCGTGATGGGCTTCTTTCCTTTGTCTTTGCCTTTGTTTAGAACCGAGATCACATGCATCATGTTCTCGTTAACAGTGAACTTGGGAGGAGAAGATGGAAGAGGTTCTTCCGGAATGTCGTCTGGAGTCCGGAGGGGAGAACCTTCATCTATTGGAGCAATTTTGGGATCCAGAATTGGTGGTAACATTGAAGGAGTGGCTCGGAAGGCTTGAGCGGTGAGAAAAGTTACATGTCAAGTTACCTAAGTAACGTTACTAAAAGTTAACAAAAACTTGTACACATGGGTGTCAAAAGACTACCTAGCATTACACCACATGTCAAAAGACCATACCTAGCATTTCACTGTTAACCATAACATTGTTTTACGGATACATTGTCAAAAGACCATACATATCATCGATAAATGAAGCCCGTAACAAACTCTGTCCATTCTTCACGTATCTCATCGATATCATCAGTTGTGTACACAACTTTTCCACCCCCGATCTGTGAAAAAAATTTCATCTTGTTTTTATTAATGAAAAATAGCATATTAACATATTCTATAATAGTAAGTTGTTATATTTAACAAATAAGCATAAAATGTAAATTATTCTTTCTTAATAGAGCATTGTACTTTCAAATGAATGAAAGCACGTTGTTATTTTTTCATGTAACCTAATATTTCAATTATAATTGTGAGAGTAGGATGCCATAAAATAATCCTTTTTCAATGCCTTTCCTATTAAATTATAGTAATGAAAGTAGAATGATATATCCTTACATTGTCTTTGACCAACACTTCAATTCCTTCTTCCATTATCTCATTCATGAACCTTAGCATGTAGTAGCCACATTCGGTAGATCCGGGCTGAACTGGACACTACACAATTACATATTAAATGATCATTGCAATTGATCCAAAAAATAAAGTTAAAACTGCAATTTCAATAAGGAATTAAGTGCTGACCGTAACATTAACCCAATTTAGTTTAACCTTTTTGTTGGATCCACTTTGTGTAGCGTACATAACCATTGCCCTATAAAAAACATTAACAAATAGGTGTTTATTGTATTCACATCAAATTTTTGTTAATTTATATTACTTACGAATCAACAATTTGTTTCAACTACATATTGAAATTGCCAGAACTCAAGGAATCAAGATAATAGCAAGTATCAGATTTCATGTCTAGTACACCCACTACCCAATGTCTTCTACAAAAACCACAAACAAAATAAAGTTAAATAACATAATTGCAATTATTTTCAAAATAAAATGTCAAAATCAAACCCGGGATTGTAGGGCATAAAGATGATGTCTTTGCCCTTTCTATTAGACAACCGATTTGCTAAACCTCTTCTTGCAACGTCAATATTCTTAGATTTCCCTTTACGCATACTTGGTGAGATTAATGTCGGGTTCACAAAGCAAATTCCATGATCTCTTTCTGGGGGGCCATACTTCATTTTGTTAAACAACACCCTGTTATCATACAAACACTAAATTCATTAAACAAATTTTGTTTTAAGATACAATGTTATTTAAATTAAATTTCTTGCACGTACATCATATAGGACACAATGACAGCACCAGTCAGCTCATCCATTGTAAGAACTGCTTCAAAATCATCCCAACTTAAGTACGTGTAACTATCGTACCCAAAAAGATCGTTCTCACTTTGCAATTTTATAGAATCAACCTTTGTAACTTGTCCATCAGCCATTATTTCAGTCATTTTCAAAATACTACTCTTCTCAATCCTTATCCTTGTCTTCATCTGTGCTCTGGTCCACCTTCTTTGCAAGGTCACATTTTGTTTCTCCTTTTTAATCTTTTTTTTTATTCCATTCCCTTCTTCCATATCATTCCCTTCTTCCACATCACATGGTTCTTTTTTTCCATCACCCATTTTTCCAGTCCCCTTTTCTTTCTTTTTACTTCCTATTTCTTCTTTTAAAGGTGTTGCATCTTCCTTCATTGGTGTTTCATCTTTCTTCACTGGTGTTGCATGTTTTTTCATAGGTTTCGCCACCACTTTTCCCTACAAAAATTATCAAAAATACAGAATGAAACATGAATCATTTACTGAAGCCGAAAAAGAACTCACACAAATATCAGAAAAATTAAGAAAACCAAGGGTAAATCTGTGAAAACTTTGTGTGCAAATAGTATTACCAGGTCATAGCATCGAATAACTAAGTGTCTTGGCCAACTTAGTATGTGTCCCAGTGCATCTTTGACCTTCACAATGAACTCCTCTTCAAGTGGAATCGGTATTAAAGCTTCTCCTTGTAAAATTGTTTCCATCATAACTTCAATGTTTTCATCTGTTACATAAACGTAAATAATAATTAAGATCCAATCTTCTAAAAAATGAAAATATATAAATAGTAATAATGCAAATACTTTTCAAAATACTTGATGCACTATACTTCATTATGGTTCCTTTAGCGACTACATTTGCACCAAATTCAACCGCAAGAAGACATGAATTATCCTACCAAAATATAGTATGTTAGTTTGTAGAAAAAGAAAATACTTTAAATATATTTTTCATAATTGTCTTCAAGGACTGACAAGTGATTCATCTCGTCGTTCTTTTTCAACATCTTCAATGACGCCCCCTACTTGGCAACTTGCGGCTTCAGAAACATTAAGTACACCTCTTTTTAGTTTCTCCAAGTCATCTTCAAGTTTGTTGATTCGTTTATCCACCCTCTCGTTCTCAATATCCAAGTAATACTTAACATTCTTGGGTAAATAAAAGTATTGTTGTGGCGTTATAAATTTACCCATCCCTCGTACACGCCCACGTTGTTCCTGAGTACCCAAGGCCTCTGTAAGCACATCATATGTTCCAAATGTAACCTCTCCAAAGCTTCCCGATTTCTGCAGCTCATCCTGTAATAAAATTGGGACAAATGTTAGAAAAAAAATAGGACAAATGTTATTTTTTTATATATTTGGCAATCAATGAAATTTACAATTTTATCAACAATCATCTTCACATCTGATTCGTATCCTCCTGTCTTCAACTCTCTTGCTTTTTTCCACAATAGTGTCCTATCAATCTCCTCTTCCGTCTTGCTGGTCTCTTGCATCTAAATTGTCAAGAATAACAAAGTCAATTAACAAAAATATATACAAATAATATAATCAATACTTAGTGGGAATCATACAATGTCATTAATGAGTCTGGCATATCCTTTTCTGCTCAAACGATGATTGTATTTATGATGTGCACGGGTATTTTTAGCTTTCGTCCTTTTCAACTGCATTAGAAACATTAAAATTGTAACTACAAAAACTTTATTATTCTGCAAAAAAAATATTTAAACTAATAGGCCCTTGCCATCCGGGCGTGTACACAAAAAATCATCATCAAGGTCTAATAAAGCAGAGTCTTGTGTTAAATCAAAAGTAGCATCAAATTCCAACATATCATCAGTTGCACCATTTGATCCATACTTGTACATCCTATGTGGTGTGAATCCAACAACATGCAAATTCTCATCTTCTTGATCTTGAACATAAAAAACCTGTTTGACTTGACTAGCTAATACGAAGGGTTCAGACTTCTGACCAAGCCTATCAAAGTTAACTACCATGAATCCTAAATCATCCTTTTTTACTCCACGACTATCAACCCACTCACACATGAATACATGAATAGTAAACATGCGATAATCAAGATCCCATATCTCCTTTATACGACCAAAGTATGTAACAGCACCATACACAGGATTGGAGTCTTTTGCACTAGCAATCTGCAGAGTATGTGCAACTAAAGATACTCCACTGCATTGAGTTGTTCTAGATTCATCTCGAGATGTTGTATGAAAACGATACTCATTTATGGCAAAACCGCTATATTTACTAACAGCAAAATTAGGCCCTTTGGCCAACCAACGAACATCATCACAAATATCTTCCCCGTTAGCCAAACGTTTTCGAACCTATTAGAAAAATATCTAATTAATGTAATTCAAACAAAATAATTAAAAATATTGTAATTCTAACAATCTTATTTTAAAAGTAAACCTCTTTCTTAAACCAACTAATAAATGTCTGACTATGTTGGCTCTGCAACCATGTACTCTTGCGAGCGTGACGGAGGTTGAGATCCTTCAATTCCAACATATGTTGCCTGAAGTGTATTACAAGTTAGAAGAATGTTTTATATGATAGATAATGGTATAAGATTATACAGTTTCATGTAATTCTTACTCTATATACGGCTCCACAACAACAGTGTTTCGTAATACATAAAGATGAGCTTGATCAAGTAACTGAGCATCTACAACATCGATTGTAGCCTTTGATAAAGGCTTGCCGCTGCGGATTCTTTCATCAACACGTTCATGAGGATTGCCAATTGATTTCATGTTTTTTAAGTAGTTTGAACAAAATTCTAAGGCCTCCTCCGCCACATAACACTCTGCAATGCAACCCTCGGGTCGATGATGATTTCTTACATATCCTTTAAGTGTTTTCATGTATCTCTCATATGGATACATCCACCTAAAATGAAACGGGCCACACAACCTCACCTCTCTAACTAAATGCACCATCAAGTGAGTCATGACATCGAAAAATGAAGGAGGAATGTACTTCTCTAACAAAAATAATGTTAATACGATGTCACTTTGCAACTGCCTAGCTTACTAACATCAACCACTTTACTACACAACTCATTGAAAAAATGACACAGGCTTAGGATTTTTCTCCACACCTTCACATCTAACACCCCCTTGATTGCAAAAGGGAGAAGTTGTTGCATTAGTACATGACAATCATTAGACTTCAAACCATTCATCTTTGAAACATCATCCGAAACGAGATTCTTGAAATTAGAGCAATACCCATGAGGAACTTTTATGATAGACAGGGTATCATAAAATAGATGTTTCTCTATGGAATTCAATGTGTACTTGGCAGGCGGAAGCGAATGTCGATCCCCTTTTAGTCGAGGTCGTAATTCAGTCTTAATGCCCAACGCTTCAAGATCTTGTCGTGCTTTTAATCCATCCTTCGTCTTATGAGGCAAATTCAACGCTGTCCCATAAAGACTCTCGGTCACAATTTTTCTATGTGCATGAGATCTAACTGATGGCGAACAAGCAACTTCTTCCAATATTCAAGTTTAAAAAATCGACTTTTTATGCCAAAATTTAGATCTCTCGTCGATACTTTCTTTTTTCTTTTTTGACTTTTCCTTCTTTGGCGTTTCCATCTTTGACGCTCCCTTCTTTGACTTTATCTTCTTTAACTTTATCTTCTTTGATCCTACCTTCTTTGACTTTATCTTCTTACCCCATGTAGTCTCGAATCCCGGGAGATAGTCATAAATATCTTCACCTGATGATGGTTGTGGCATAAAATCATGCTCCTGTTGATTGTTGAAATGTTTTTTTCTTTTACGAAAAGGATGTTAAAGTGGTAGAAATCTTCTATGCCCAAGGAAGCATACTTTTTTGGACTTTGGCAACCATTGTGAACAAGTATTCTTTGAACATATTATACAAGTATAATAACCTGTGGTAACATACCCTGAAAGATTACCATATGCGGGAAAGTCACTTATAGTCCAAAGTAATATTGATCTTAGATTGAAGTATTCTTTCTTGTAAGAATCAAAGGTCTCAACGCCAGTTTCCCACAAGAGCTTTAGATCTTCTATCAATGGTGCTAAGTAGACATCAATATTGTTACCAGGTTGATTTGGCCCGGATATCAACAGAGTCAACATCATGAATTTTCTTGACATACACAAATAAGAGGGTAGATTATATGTTATAAGGATAACCGGCCAACAACTATGCTTGGAACTTAATGACTTGTGAGGATTGATACCATCGACAGACAAGGCTAATCTACGATTTCGTTTTTCTTGTCCGAATTCTTTCCACGTGTTATCAACAAGCTTCCAAGAATGGGTATCGCGAGGATGAGTAAGCTTCCCATTATTGATCCGACCTTGTGCATGCCAAGTTAAGTCATGTGCAATTTGTGGTATTGAAAACATTCTTCTAAATCTAGGGATGATAGGAAAATACCAAAAAAAAATTGAAGGTACGTTTTTGGTATTCTTCTTCCAAGGAGAAGTGCCACAAGTTGGACATTGAGAAGCATTTTTATGTTCTTTCCAAAATAGAACACAATCATTTTCACATGCATGAATCTTATCATATTGTAGAACTACTCCTTTTAGCAACTTCTTGGATTCATATATCGAGCTAGGGATGGTATTGTTGGATGGTAAGATATTTTTAGGACAGACAACAAAGCATCAAAACTAGCATCAGACCATCCAAACTGACCCTTCAAATGTTGGAATTTCAATAATCCACTAAGTGCATTATACTTTGACCCTACATAAAGTGTCTTATCACATTCTTCAAGAAAGTGATTTCAACGAATCAGGTTCTTCGTCTACATATTTGAAGGCATCATGTAGCATATCCTTTGTATAAATAGCATCAGGAGGAATGGAATTGTTAGGGCATCTAGAATCACTTTTGGGTTGTTTTTCTCCATGGAAAGACCAAATCTTATAATTCTCATCGAAGCCGTGGGCAAATAAATGATAACGGACATTGTCAATTGAGTGGTGACACAAAATGATGCAATTTACACAAGGGCATGGAATAACATCTAATTTTGGATTATTACTTTGTGCAAACTCTAGAAAAGCATTCACACCTTCATCCTATGCATTTGATAATCTACTAGAGGAAATCCATGATTTATCCATTAAACATTTTGTTTCCAACCTACATAATTATTTACCATTTAAAGCAACAATGATTACCCATGTTTAGGGATAAAAACTGTGCAAAAACAAAACTGTACAGTCGCCAAAACTGTACAGGGACAAAAAATCTATACAGGGGCCAAAACTGTACAGGGACAAAAAAACTGTACAGGGGCCAATCATATGTCAAATACATGTTCAGGGGCCAATCCTTTACAAAATTTTATATTTGTATTTGTTGTACATGTGCAGGCTGATGCAAAAACTATGAAATTCAGAGACAGGGTTTTGAAAACAGGGACAAAAACGAGTAAATGAAATTTTTTGTCCTTATGTAACTATGTTATAATAATTTAATAACATCAATATTTAGTAGTGTTTTTAGAATGTTTTTATGGTTGTATTGGCCATTATTTGTTAGCATAATGACGGTATAATATATTATTAATATTGGTTTTTGATTTTAGCGTAGTGAAGGCATGATATACTAACAAGCCAATATTTAGTAGTGTTTTTAGAATGTTTTTTATGGATCAGAAAGTACTAACAAGCCAAAACTGTATAGGGACAAAAAAACTGTACAGTGGCCAAAACTGATGCAGGGACCAAAACTGTACAGGGACAAAACTGAAGCAGGGACCAAAACTGTGCAAAAACAAAACTGTATAGGGTATCAATTACTTTTTCAGCATCCAAGTATTTTTATTTATTTATTTATTTAGTAAATTACTTTTTCAGCATGTTATTAGTATAAATCACTATTTTCTTTTTATTGTAGTTCAGGATTGCATGTTGTTCATATTACTTTTTCAGCATGTTATTAGGGGTAGTTTAGTCTTTTGTTTATACTATTAAAATTTTGAATCTGAGCTTGTTTGAATAGTTTTATGTGTTTGTTTTAAAATTTTATGAACTTTTATAGAAAGATATATTAACAGATGTTAGTAAAGGAAAATTAAAAAATAGAGCATCGTACATTAAAGCCAAACAGTACATTAAAAAATAGGGGTTGTTCATTTTTTTGAAGTAGTAGGGATTGACAAAGGAGTTTTTATGTATGATAGGTAGTCGCAAGGATTGACTCATTCAATGAAACTGATGAAATCCTATCTGCTCTTGCTGTATAAGTACTATAAATGTTTCAAGAACATAATTATGCTACTCATTTGTCATCTTTTATACTATCGACTCATGATCTTGTGAAGGCATATATGTATGTTTGAGGATTCATGTCCATAATATTAAGAGTGAGAGATACTTTTAACCATTTTACTTGGCTTTAGCTTCCTTGTAAAAATCCTAACATTAGTTCTATTTCTTGACCCTGTATTCAGAGCCAGTTGCAAGTATCTCTTTCTCCCCCTTTTTTATCCATGCTATAAAATTTATTGTTATTACTCTTATTATTTTTATTGCTATTCTTATTATTATTATTATTATTATTATTATTATTGTTATTATTATTATTAAAGTGATAGTTAGCATGAGTGTCAAACACCCCGTGTTGGGTGTGTTTGGAAATGATTTTTTTTCACCATTTATTTTAAACAAAATAAATCACCAAATGACAACAAAAAATCCCATATTTTTATAACATTGTTGATAAAAAAATATTTATAAAAATACATGAAGATATTCAGCTCATCTCAAAGACAATATGAGAAGGAAACTAGACTCTTATTTTAAAATCACTAAACGAAAAGAAAAAATGAAAAATATAAGATAGTGCCTAAACTTAGTTACTGCCTCTCTAATCTTTAATTCTATTGACCTATTTATAGTCAAGGCGTCCTAAACTAACATAATTTAAAACAGTGCTTGATGAGGGCGTTTACATCTTTTGCACATTTGAAATCCCTCTGTGTTCAATCTTTTTGGGTGGGAGTGGACAAAAAGGACAGTACAACCATGTTTGTAGACATGATTGGTGTATTGTTCCTGATGTTTATTTATAAATATATTTTTTGTTTTCAGGAGTTGCACTAGGACCTTGAATGATCTAATAAATGAGAAGCTTGCATATCTTCCAAAAAGAGGGTATTATCGTCATTTTGACTGTTATGCCCCTGAACCTTATTTTAGACACATTTTAGACATATTTCCAGGTGAGGCTGTCAACTTGTCACAACTGGTATGCCCCTGAACCTCATTTTAGACATATTTTTAGGGGTATTATCGTCATTTTGACTCGTTTTGCAGAACCTCATAGATCTAGCTGGCTCCGATAGCTCTAAAGCTGAAACTACTGGTATTCATAGAATCTTCCTAGTGCATAGATATAGTTGGAAAGAAAGGAAGCCGAACGAGCTAGTTAGTTTTAAATCTTGAAATAATAATTATAATAATAATAATAAGATCTAAATTAACATTTAATTTGAGTTAAACTTTGGTTTTCAAGGTAATACTAAGGAGGCGCCTATCATTACTCCTTTAATGGATTTTATTCGCCAGAAAAGAGCAGCCAATGGTGGATCTCGGGTGTGATATATTATATTTATACTCCTTCAGAATAAAATATGTATTCTCAATTTATATTTTAATAAATTCCAGAGGTCATTGCCTAATGGGAAGTTAATGAAAGGGGCTAGTGGTGCATCATCATCATGGTATATGAATCTTTTTACATAATAA